TATAGTGAGCCTGGTTCTTATAGTGTGCTGCTGACCTGTATGTCACATGTGCTCTGACCCTCCACTTCAGCTGCGGCACCGCTTTGGTGACGTGTTCAGCCTGCAGATGGCCTGGAAGCCAGTGGTGGTGATCAACGGACCGAAGGCCGTGCGGGAAGTGCTGGTGAACTGTGGAGAGGACACCTCAGACCGTCCACTATTTCCCATCTATGAACACCTCGGCTTAGGGCCCAGATCCCAAGGCAAAGTGCTGTAGTGGGGTGACAGGGACGGTATCATAGATGGGCTGGGGAAACAGTGAGCAAAAAGACAGAACCTCATGGGGTGGTGATGTGGGAAAGCAGCATAAGGTCATTGAAATCCGGAAAGACTCCACACAAAGGACATGTGCTGGGGTGCGGTATCAACATCTGGGGGAGCTCATGGGTGACAGTGATGCCAGATGTAAAACTGAATGTTGGGGGTAGAGGACAACCGGCCAGGTGTTCTTGGTCACACAGAATATTTTTTTGCAGGGGTAGTCCTTGCAACTTATGGGCCTGCCTGGCGAGAGCAGCGGCGATTCTCTGTGTCCACCATGCGCAACTTTGGCCTGGGCAAGAAATCTCTGGAACAGTGGATCATCGAGGAGGCTGGCCACCTCTGTGCTGCCTTCACTGACCAGGCCGGTGGGTGATGGGTGAGGTGTTCATGTATGGACAGGGGAGATGGGATCAATGTCCTCACATAGATTTCTGGTCCCAGGAGGGCCCTTCAATCCCTACCGCCCCCTGAACAAAGCCGTGTGCAACGTGATTTCATCCCTGATTTTTGCCCGTCGCTTCGAGTACGAAGACTCTTACTTCATTCAGTTACTGAAAATGATGTCAGAAAGCATAGGAGAGGACACTAGCCTCATTGCTGAGGTATGAGGTTCATGGGAGTCTGCAAGGTCATTTCTGTGCCACTGATCCTCCCAGAAAGTTTCTGCGTGCACTGGAGATTGGTTGAGGGCAGTGTGGAGAGTCAACAGTAGGAAGAAAGGCCTGGAAGTTGACACACCTCACAGTATAGGAGAGAAGGGAACCAAGCTCAAGGGCTGCAGAAAGGGTGGAGCCTGTGCCCTGTGTCAACACAGAAGCTCCAGAAGCCTACGAGACTACAGAGTCCAGGATTCTCTCTCTTAGCCCAGGTCGACATGAGCCCTAAGCGCTGGGACTGAGCAGGAAGCAGCTCATGAGATTGAATCACACAATTGATAAAAGCAACCGAATCTTTTCTGCGGCTGCTGTAGGTGCTGAACGCAGTCCCAATGCTCCTTCGCATCCCAGGGGTGCCTGGCAAGGCCTTCCCTAAGCAGAAGGCATTTGTGGACATGGTGGATAAGCTGTTGACTGAGCACAAGCTGACCTGGGATCCTGCCCAGCCACCCAGACATCTGACTGATGCCTTTGTAGCGGAAGTGAAGAAGGTTAGGGGAAACTGCCAGGGAAGGTGCCCGAGCTGTCTGCTGAAATGTCCAAGACTTCGGAGGCCAGGCAGGGTGGGAGCTGGGAATCACTCAGGGTCTGAGACCCTGGGCTGCCTGGAGATAGTGGGGATCATGTGGGGCTTTCTCCTTCTCTCTCCGAGCTCACCTTCTCTGGCCCAGGCTAAGGGAAATCCTGAGAGCAGCTTCAATGATGAAAACCTGCACATGGTGGTGCTTGATCTGTTCTCTGCTGGGATGGTGACCACCTCCACCACACTGACCTGGGCTCTGCTGCTCATGATCCTGCACCCGGATGTGCAGTGTGAGCCTGGCTGGGTCTGGGGGGAGGTTATGGGAAGAAAGGTTAAGCAAACTCCCCTCATTTCCTTGGGACACTGGGACTCCCAGTACTAGCTTTACACACACTCCCACTGGTACGATGAGCCTTTTTGAGGGTCATGGGGCAGTCCTCTGGGACTTCTCTGCTGAGGAGATGATATCCCTTCAGGCCGTGTCCAAGAAGAGATCGATGAAGTCTTAGGGCAGGCACGGACTCCAGTGATGGAGGACCAGGCCCGCATGCCCTTTACAACTGCTGTGATTCACGAGGTGCAGCGATTTGGGGACATCGCGCCATTGAATTTACCACACATGACATCTCGTGACATTGAAGTACAGGGCTTCGTCATCCCCAAGGTAGGCATGGGTCCTCCTCCCCTGCTTGGCCTCACCCAGAAGTTCTACATCCTAGATTTCCAACACACTGACACTACCAATGTGGTGCATGTACAATGCAGCCATTGACCGCACAGTCCCTCGGTAAGTGGGGTGACCAAAGTGAGTCCAGGGGATTGAGGAATCAGTATACACAGAGAGAGGCCATTTGGGCAGCCATGGAAGCCTTATCACAGGACCTTTTCCTCACATTCGTGAAAGCGCTGAAAGTTAGATGAAAGAATCCAGGTGTGTGAAGGTAGAGTCTGTGCATGTAAACTTAGTGGTCGGGGTCCTGGTGTCCCCATCCCAGTCCATGTTCACACCATGTGTCTCCTGCCAGGGCACGACACTCATCACCAACCTGTCCTCGGTGCTGAAGGATGAGAGCGCCTGGGAGAAGCCCCTCCAGTTCCATCCCGAACATTTCCTGGATGCCCAGGGCCGCTTCCTAAAGCCTGAGGCCTTCATTCCATTTGGCGCAGGTGATTAGGGGGGCCCAGCTCCCTGTGCCTATCCCATTGTGCCTTGGATGTTGAAGCTTTGATCAGGCCCAGACTGACTGACCTCTGCTCCCCCCAACAGGCCGCCGCGCATGCCTCGGGGAGCCGCTGGCCCGCATGGAGCTCTTCCTCTTCTTCACCTGCCTCCTACAACGCTTTACCTTCTCGGTGCCCCCTGGACAGCCCCCGCCCAGTGCCCTAGGCAACTTTGCATTACCAGTTGTCCCAAAGCCTTACGAACTCTGTGCAGTTCCACGCTAGTAGGAACACCAATTCCAGTCTGGCTCTCCAGTATCAGCTGAGAGGTGAAATAAACCAGTTTTTAGCTGCTACTTAGTTGCCTGCTCCCCCCTCATCCTGCCTGGACTGGATCTTCAGAGAGCATTCTGAAATCATCCTTTACCCACCAGGTTTTGCTCTTCCAGTGGACAACTTGATCATTATTTCAAAAGTGTGTAGTCGGCCAAGACAATGTACCAGGCCTGCAGTTTCAACACTTGAATGACTGAGGTGGAAAGAATGTAAGTTTGAGTTTACCATGAGTTATATAGAGAGAGTGCGAGGGCAACCTGGACTACTTGGTTAGGTTCTGCATAAAAAAAAAAGGGAGAAAAAGAAACCAGCTGTTAAGAGAGTCAGGGAGGAATGAAAGAAGGAGGTGGAGCAATCCTCTACCTCCGAAGATTTCTCAACTTCTCATGATGGACCTATGAGACGAATAGGTCATAGGTGTTACCTCGCTGACGATTCCGTGACCTCAAACCTGCACTTGAGTTTCACAGGCTCCAGCTCCCTTCCTCACCCACACAAGCCATTTCAGTGGCACTTGCCGCCACAACCGGGAGCAAGGCCTGCAGTGCCAGTCAGCCCCTCATGTTCTGCCAACCATGGCCTCCGGGAAGGGCTTATTCCAGCCTTAGGAAATGTCGTCAAGCCCCTTCAATCTCTGCCTGTGTAGTACGTCAGGCGAATAGTCTATGCCTCGTGACAATACACCTTGGACCAGGGTCCCTGGACAGCTGCCCACCATGCTTACAGTGCTCATCTTTCAGTTTTCCTCATGACTAGAACATCCTAACTACAGGCCTCTGGCATGAGAAGGACTGTGCTCTTTATATCCCTAGTAAGATGACTGTGGTCAGAAGACTTGACCCAGTAATAGGGAGAAAGTGAACAAAGGACAGTGGTCTCCATGTGACAAGGACGTGGACCATCCTCTACCTCCAAAGATTTCTCAACTTCTCATGCTGGACCTACGAGACGAACAGGTCATAGGTGTTACCTCGCTGACTAGTCCGTGACCTCAAACCTGCACTTGAGTTTCACAGGCTCCAGCTCCCTTCCTCACCCACACAAGCCATTTCAGTGGCACTTGCCGCCACAACTGGGAGCAAGGCCTGCAGTGCCAGTCAGCCCCTCATGTTCTGCCGACCATGGCCTCCGGGAAGGGCTTATTCCAGCCTTAGGAAATGTCGTCAAGCCCCTTCAATCTCTGCCTGTGTAGTACGTCAGGCGAATAGTCTATGCCTCGTGACAATACACCTTGGACCAGGGTCCCTGGACAGCTGCCCACCATGCTTACAGTGTCTAGCACAGCATAACCACTATGCACAACTCCTGTGGCGCTCAGCTGCCAATCTTGATGCCGCTTCTCTGGGTAAGCACCCGGGGAGGGATGAAGGGGCAGAGATCTAGTCCTCTGAGGTTGATGTACCTGTACTCCTCTGGGCCCAGGCTTTACAGTCTAACTCACCAGTACACACAAGAGTTAGGATCAGAGTAGAGTTCAAAGGGCAGCAAATGGTGCTGGCAAAACTGGATCTCCACCTGTAGAAGAATGAAACTAAACCCCTATCTTTCACCCTGTAC